TTCAGCTATGTTCCTTTGGCTTTTTCTCTATGGATGACACAGTGCGTAGACTCATATTCAGAAACTACCTAAGGAGCTCCAAGTGGTACAGCCGGTTACCGTGGGGCACTTATACACAGAAGTGACCTGTTTGACCTGAGTAGTGAAATCAGTCATGGCAGCTGCTCTGTCCATGTGTATACTGGCACGAAATGACCAATTTGATTTTTCTGATATGTAGTCATTCATAGACTAGAATAGTTCTGCAGCTGCGCTGTTGGTTGGTAATGAAAGCGCACATAACATATCCTCATGTGCATCCCCTGAAAAATAGATCACAGATAAACAAGCATTGTTGCCTTGCTGTCAACACGGGTAGACTCGTCAACCTGGATTGTGTGCACCCTGGTGGCTCATTAATCCCCTTTTACAATTGTGTCTCAGTGTCCTCTGCTGTTTCATCAATTCATCGAGTTATGGTGCTAGCCGAAAGACGACCACCTGCCACCTTGTGAACTGCAGCCTCTCCTAAAAGTTCACCACAAATGTCCCTAACGGCAGGCAGGATCAGCTTTTCACCAATAGTAAAGGGCTTCTGAGCTTCAGCAATGAGGTTAGTCACTAAGAATGATGCACTCAGAGCAGGCACATTTGATGAAGCGCCAGCCTTCGATAATTGCCTGTGTTATTGGTATACACTTTTCTTTTTCTTTTGAAAACTCCAAAGACTTGCCTTTTAATGCAGGGTGCATGGTCTCCACATGGCAATGCAGTTTTGAAGGAAAGTTTCATGGCTTCCTTGGATAGCTAGGTGCCACATATGCAAAGTGGACCTGGAGAATGTGAATTGCTTGTTGCAATGAATCCATAATTTAAGTAGGACTTGGTATTTTCTTTCAAATGCAGCTTTCATTTTGTTGGCAGTCTTAGAATCTGCTTTCTCATGATTGGGTCTTCCCCCTTTTCAAAGAAGCTCTCCTGTTTTTTTTGTTTTTTACTCATTTTGGCTAGGGTTAGCTTGTGGGCTTACCAGAGACAAGTGCATAGTGTGGGAAAGAGGTGCAGATGGAAGTGACAAACGAAATAATAGGCAGGCCACACGTGGACTAAATACATGTCAGATTCTGACTTAAAGCCTGCCACCAGAAGCAGCTGTGCAATTGAAGTAAATCAGCTCACTTGCCACTGGATGCAGCTTGTCACTTGCCACTCACTGAGAGAGTTTTGATATGAGTCTGCAAGCAGTTACTTTATGATGGTCTCTGTGCAGGGAAACTTGTCTGCTAATGATAATCTGTATTTGCGGCCACTGCCCAGCGCTAGCACCACCCCCTCAGCTCCGGCTCGGGTTATCAGTCATTAGTTAGATTTTCATCAGAAGCGCACAACCCAGATCCCTGGCAAGTGCAGTCCACAATAGGGTTTGCGCTCCATGAGAATCTGATGCCACTTCTGATCTGATAGGAGGCGGAGCTCAGGCAGTAATGCCAGTGATGGAGAGCAGTTGTAAATACGATGAAGCTTCGCTCACTTGCCACCGCTCACCTCCTGCTGTGTGGCCCAGTTCCTAACAGGGATGGCCCAAGGGTTGGGGACCCCTGCACTAAGCCACTGTCTATCATATGTGTTCCCACAATGCAACTCAACTGTAGAAGAGAAAGTAGTTTCTGTCTTCAACATGCTTAAATTTTTCTTGAGCAAGAGATTTTAGCTAAATGAAAATTCCCACTATTAAGAAATAGGAGGCCAGGCACAGTGGCTCATGCCTGTAATCCCAGCACTTTGGGAAGCTGAGGTAGGCAGATCATTTGAAGTCAGGAGTTCAAGACCAGCCTGACCAACATGATAAAAACCCCATATCTATTAAAAATATAAACCAAAAAAAAAATTAGCTGGGCTTGGTGGCACATGCCTGTAGCTACTCTGGATGGTGAGGCAGGAGAATTGTTTGAATCCAGGAGACAGAAGTTGCAGTGAAAACAAGATCGTACTACTACATTCCAGCCTGGGAGACAGAGTGAGACTCTGTTTCCAAAAAAAAA